CCACCACAAAAATGCCATCGCAAGCTACCTCTCACTACTGGGATGAAGAAGAGAAAGTGGCCTCACTATTTCCACAGCACCTGGTGTTAACACAGTGGTCCTTTCATCCCCCAGAGTAGTCACCATCTAAGCTATTAAAAGACTGTTCCCGGTGGTGGTAGAAGCAACCTTGGGCTTACCTCCAACTCTTTCCAGTCTTCTCAGAGGTAAGCACCTGCCTGTGAGCAATTCCTCTCTCCACTGACTGCTAGCCCCTCACCCTTCCATCCCCCTAAATGGAGAGATGAATTTTTCACATAGATGATTAGTGTCGCATGATATTCTAGAGCACTTGCGCCCACTGCACTAGCAACGGGGGGAACCCACATATAAGTGAGCGTGCACACTTCAAATCTGTGTTGTTCAAGGGCCCTCTGTAGAATACAATTTTAAAAAAAGTTCATTCTTACAAGTGCTCCATGCTGGGAGGTTTGCAAGACTTAAAGACAACAAGGCAGACATTGTTATGTAGACCATCTTACGATCATGGCGCACCAGATGGTAAGTAGATGCATCAGTAGACTAGCAGGGAGACTGGAAGTCTGCCCAGAATACAGATCTAGGTTTGAGAGAGGGCATTTGCTTATGTGTATGTACTTTTACTGTAAATACACCCATGAGTGTGGTAGAGCTTACAGGGGTAAAGTTAGGAAAACCTCTTTGACGTAACCAAACACCTGGAGGAAATGACGCATTGGGTGCTGGGGCTAAGGACTGTAGTCTTGGGAACCACCAAGGTCAGTTTTAAGACATGCTCAGCACAGCTGCATTGACCATCAATCAGATGGTACTCTGTGTTTGAGACAGCCACACGTTTCACAGTGGCCTCCTTAAACCAGAGGTCCTCACGCTTCCCTGAGCATCCGTCACTGGGAGAGTTTGCACAACAGGGGGCGCTGGGCCTTCCTGCCAGAGTTCTGGATCACATAGGTCAGATTCAGGACTGAGAAGGTCTATGCCTAGCCAGTTCCCAGGTAATGGTAATGCTGTTGGTCCCGGGGCCACACTTAGAGGAGATGACTGGGACTGGCTTTAGAGAAACTCAGGTCTGCTCTCCCCTGTAGGGTTTCTGTGAGTCGGCATCAACTCAATGTCAGTGTTTTGGGTTCCTTACCAAATAGAAAGGTACGTTTGTGAATCCCATTTTATTCCTATTCCTTTTTTTGATTATACCAACAATGTTGTCATGTTCTATGCTGCCTTTCGGCCTAACCCCAGTCATCAACATTACAATGTTCCAATTTTGTTGTATTAGGTAGACTTTGTATCTAAGAGAATAACAGGGCAAGGTACAAAATTACCTCTCAACACAGACTGCTTTGAAACCATGTTGCTGTTGATGCTGTTGAGTTGATGCCGATGCATAGCGACCCCATGTGATGGAATAGAACTGCCCCAGGGTTTTCTAGGCAGTCATTGCCATGAGGGCAGATTGCCACATCGTTCCCCTGTGGAGTAACCAGTGGATTTGAACCGCCAACCTTTCATCTAGCAGGTGAGAGCCTAACACCACGGGGCTCCTCTTTGAAGCCATAGCCAGATGGTATTGGACTCCCAAACCCACCTGTTACTCGATATGATAAACCCACCTCAACTCACCTGTTACACATTCAAGGCGTATGTTTGGCATTTCATAGTTAGGGTGATTGGCGGGGGTCATCGTTTCCTGTTCCACCTCTGAGAAGTGAAACAATGCACCCGGGAGTGGTGGAGGACCCCAGATTGATTTGCTGATAAGAATCCCAGTGCTTGATCGGTGGTCCCTCTGTGGTCGTCCCAGCACTGCTTCCTTGCTGCTGGACCCAGCCCTGTGACCTCCCGGTGGGAGGGCTCATCAGAGGCCTCTGGGGCTGTGGCCACGAAGGAACGATAAGACTTGGCGACTTAGTGTTCTCTCATTCTCAACGGAAAGTGCTAAAGTGCTTTAGGATAGTGGGGATGGTATAAGCAATATTCCAAATTTGAAATATATGAGGGGGGCAGGGTGGGCTCAAAAAGTTCATAGGGGAAATTCTATTATCTTCAAATTCCAGTTCTTGAAGCCCCTCATATTATCCCAAGATGAAAACAGTTGGGGTTCACTGTCAAAAAGAACACGTCGTTGCATCTTTTGTTTGGTGGGAACCTTTTGCAGAGTCCCCGCCCTTCGTAGGGCGTGTCCGTGCCCTACATGAAAGCAGAGGACAGGGAGCCGCAGGACTTGTCTTTTCTGGAAGCGTAAGAACGTGCCGAGTTTCACTGTAACACACCTGTGAGTTCGGAGCCCTTTCAGAGCGGATTACTGGATAACTTCTCTGGCTTTGTGTGTGATTGGGTGTGGATACGAGCACACACACACACACACACACACACACACACACACACACGGCTGGTGAAATATTGGCATCCCACATGCAACTCAGCTGTGTTCAGACCCAGCTGGTGTGAGATCCTGTTCTGCATGTGACTGCAGGAACTCTACCCAAACTCCAACCCCATCCCAGCCAACCATGCAGGTGGGTATCTAAGTCCCTTCCCACACCTCTGAAGCAAAGCACGCGAGCAAGACCAGCCCCGGCCCCCAGGATAGACTGTATCTTTTCTCTACCTGTGTCACTGAGGGCCCTGGCATGGAGAGCCACCCTTCGTCACAGGGCCAGTCGATAGTGTGTGTCCTTATGGTACCCTGGGTCCCTGGCAGTGTCTTTCTACTTTGCCATTGTTGCCTCTCAGTGGCTCCTTCTGCACTTTTCAGGGCACGTGTGAAGATGCACACACACCCTGAGTCACATCTGTCTCGCCTACCCACCCCGTGAGGGTGTAATGACTGTTGGTTGCTCACACGGATGAACTGAGGGCATGTCCACCGCTGAGATGCACTTGACAAGACCTTTCTAGAAGTGGCAGCTTCCCCTAGGAATGGGTGCAGAGGTTAGGCACCAAGGCAGGCCAGGAGGGTGGGTGGGAATGAAAGGGTACCTGTTAATAGAGAGATCGTCTGCTCCTTGCTTTTCAGATCACCCCAGAAAGGAAGGAAGCAGCCTGTCACGGAGCCATGCACTCTCAGCCCAAAGCCTGAGGTCCCAATGCGTTCAACACTCAGAATGACTTGAATTTTAGCAGAGCGAGATGGTATGGGCAGCTTAGAATAGTGTCCCAGAGTGACACAAGCCAGTATCCGACCCTTAAGCACATAAACATGCACATGACATGGGACAAGGGTCATCGGGTAGGTTAGCATAGGCCACCAAGTGAGTTCCAGCAAAATGCCTTTTTTCATTTTTGGCTGGCTAAGCTTTTTGGATGGTGCCCTGGTGGTGTGGTGGTTAAGCTTTGGGCTGTGAACCACATGGCCGGCGGTTCAAAACCACCAGCAGCTCAGTGGGAGAAAGACTGGGCTTTCTCCTCCCGTGAACAGTTACAGTTTGGGAAACCCACCAAGGGTCACCATCCATCGGCATTGACTCATGGTAGTGAGCTTAAGCTTTGGGGATCTCGGAAGTTTGATGAAGGGATCGTGCATCTGGAACGGTTAACACAGTCCCAGGGGAGCAATGGTTAGTGGCTTGGCTACTAAACAAAAGGTGGGCAGTTCACACCCACCCAATGGCTCTGAGGGAGAAAGGCCTGGAAGTCTGATCCTGTAAAGTTGACAGCCTAGAGAGCCCTGGGGCACTTCCACTCCGTCACCTGGCATCGCTGTGATTCAAAATCAGATCAGCAGCACCTAACAACATCAGAGTCCTTAGCAACAGCTCCCATTGATTAAGCCCTTACAGTGTGCCGAGCTGGTGCAAACCGTTACCATGTGTGACTGCTAACCAAAAGGCTGAAGACTGAAGCCCACCCAGAATCCCTTGGAAGAAAAGCCCAGCAATCTACTTCCCAAATATCAGCCTTTGGACACCCCATGGGGCACCCCTCTACTCTGACACACGTGAGTCAGAAGGCTCTCAGTGGCATCTTGGCTTTCTCTCAAGACAACATCGATGAAGTCCAGCCTCTCAGAGGAGACAGGAGATCACAGAGCTCTTCCAAGTTGCTCTCAGTGGCAACTTGACCGTGGCAAGTGTGCCAAGCACTGTGCCAAGCAGGCACTTCCCCACAGAAGCATGTTTCCTCCCCGCACAGCTCAAGCTCACTGCGTTGGGGTTGGTTCTGATGCATACAGGACAGGGCGGAGCTGCGCCGGGGCATTTCTGAGACCATACCTCTTTATGGGAATAGAAAGTCTCATCTTTCTCCCACAGAGCAGCTGGTGGTTTCAAACTGCTGACCTTGTGGTTAGTAGCCCAAGGCATAACTACTACACCACCCAGGCCCAATGTCCTACAGCAATCCTACTGAGGTGCAGCCCTACTTTGCTGGTTCCCCCTAAACTTAACCTTAAAAATCATCAGACAGTGTAAGATATGACAAAGTAATAATAATTTATAAATTGTCAAGGGTTCATAAGGGAGGGGGCAGCAGGGAGGGAGGAGGGAAAATGAAGAGCTGATACCAAGGGCTCAAGCAGAAAGCAAATGTTTTGAGAATGATGATGGCAACAAATGTACAAATGTGCTTAACACAATGGATGGATGTGCGGATTGTGATAAGAGTTGTACGAGCCCCTAATAAAATGATTTTTTTTAAAATCATTGAGCACCTATCTTGCACCCAGGGGGAAAAAAAAAAACAGCACAAGGTCTGTTCAGTCCCTGCCTAAAGGTGGTCCTCATCAGGCGAGGGCTCCAGACAGGGTCAGACATGGGTGAGTAGTGGGCTGTGGGGAAAGAAGAGGCAGGCCTGCTGTGGGGCATGCTGGGCCAGCTCATCCCTCGCGCCCAGGAGGAAGCCAGGAGGTGGGCTGGGATCATGCCAGCCTCACCTAATGCCAACTTTGCTTCTGAAAGCAGCTCGCTGTGCCGGGACTCCCTGGCCTCCTGTGCTTCCTTGTTGGTGTCCTTTGACACAGCCCTCTCTCCTTTCATGTTTTCCAGGACTCCCATCTCGGCTTTCTCTCAAGACAACATCTATGAAGTGCAGCCTCCCAGAGTAGACAGGAGATCCACAGAGATCTTCCACGCCCACCTCCAGGCCAGTAAAGGCGTCATGCAGCCGCTCGGGAAGGAAGACACCGCCATGTACCGAGAGTACATCAGAAACCGCTACCTGTGAATGGTTACCAGCACCGCTCGCCTCCTCTTTGAAGGGCACTTTCCCAGCTGAAGGTCATTCCTCTCTCCGCAGCTGGCCAAGTACCAATCATGGGTAAAACAGGAACCACCGAGTACTTTGCTCGCACTGCTTTGCCCGAAAAAAACAACAAAACTCTGTCTGGTGGGACAAAGTCCCTTGTGAAGACAAAGTAGTTTTGTATCTTTTAATGGCTAATGTACATGTATTTATTATACTCCGATTGCTTTTATGTTAACTTTGTGTCTCAGGCAAAGATGTAAGTGCTCTGAAAGCCTTTGTTCTTAGGAAACAAATACTGAACTGTTTGTTGGAACAGATGTCAACAGAGGACTCTCATATGGTTTATGTGAAAAAGGAACCCATGCTGAAGACAATGGAGCAAAATATAAATGGTTGGTAAAGCAGGGCATTCTTTTGATGATTCTCATCATGTTTATTTGCTTGGACAATTATATCAAAATAAAAAGTTTGGAAATACATTATGGTATGAAGCTGTATTGCGTCACGTGGCGTGTGGCATGCCACTGGAGGTGGCTTTGTCAGATGCATGCCTGGCGTGCCCTCCATGTCTGCCAGCAGTAAGGAGCCCGTGGTGGTGCTGGGGGCTGGTTGTTGGGCTGCTACTGCAAAGTCGGTTCAAACCCACCAGCCACTCCATGGGACAAAGACGAGGCTGCCTGCTCCCAGAAAGATTGACAGTCTCAGAAGCCCTTCGTAAGCATGCCGAGGCAGGATTGGCTCAACAGCTGTGGGTCTATTCAAGTACTAACGTGGGTAACTTTTTGCCTTTTGAAATTGTTCAACCTGTAGGATTTGCTCTCATCACATTTAATTTTTATTACAAATCGTCTCAAATCCTCCTCCCCACAAACAAGATAGAGAAGAAAGCCAGGGTCGTGGGAGAAGGTAAACTGATCCATGTAACATGACCTGTAAGGTCTTCCCAACCCTTAGATTTGGGCATTGCATGGAAGATTCTGTGTTGCAGCTAAGTAATGGCCTTTTTGGATTGGTGCCATCTTAAAAGGTGAGGGGATGACAAATTCGTTGGCCACAGGAACTCTGTGTTGGCACAGGTTAGAGGCCTGGCACAATAGCTGCTGCCGTGTGTGGGGTCTCCCATGAGTCACCGCAGTTCAAAGAAGAATCCCAGATTGCTGTGCAGGAGCCAGGTGAGAGGCAAGGCACTTGTCGTCATGCTCATGATTGATTTCTGACGCGCTTCTGGCTGTCCATCTCCTTAGGATCAGAACAACCTTCCTACTACAGGCTCTGCCAAGGTCGGCAAGCCAGGTCCTTCAGACTGATCTGAATTGAACCTTCTTTCGATAAGAAGATGAGAATCAGAGCTCCTCCTCGGATGAGGGCAATGAATGTACACATGTGTTTTCCACAATTGATGCATGTATGGGTTGTGATAAGAGTTGTATGAGCCCCTAATAAAATGATTTTTTTTTAAAAGAAATAAAATAAACTGAAAAAACACACACACAAAACCCTAACCATGCTCCCTCGCACAGAACCAACCCCGTGTTTCCCTGAAGAATAAGGACACAGCTGGGAAGCACCTGGTGGCAGGGACAGTCCTGGAGGACGTTACGCTGAGGGAAATTAGCCAATCACTAGAGCACCCATACGGTGCGAGACCACCGTTATAAAGGAAAACCCAAGCCACAGGTGTGCAAACCAAGAGAAACAGACTGTAATCGTGATGTGGGGAGGGGTAGGAAGGAAGGTAAAGTAATAGACTCGAGAGAAGACAGGTGTTAACATGGGTGAAGGAGAAGGTGGTATTCTACAGGAGAGAAGAGAAATCCAAGAGGGGCAGGGCCAGCCCCTGGTGAGTTGGAATACAGAATTGAATGAACTGTAACCCACTACCTAGTTCACACACACACACACACACACACACACACCCCGCTCAGTGCTGTGTGGTTGCTGTGGATGGCAAGTGGTGGTGGCAGGGAGGTGTCAACACTGCCATGGCAGCCATGCCCAGGGCTCCTCCGTGGAAGGCGGCAGCATGTGTCCTCGGAGTTCACAAGCTTTGGCCATGACAGCTTGGCAGATTGGTTCGGCTTCACTGGACAAAGAAGGCCTTTCAAATGAATAGGAGAGCAGACCTATCAACGCCAAAGCACTCAAAATCCTCTGCCATGGAGTCGGTTCTGACTCACGGCGACCCTACCGGACAGGGGGGAACTGCCCCTGTGGGTTTCCCACACCGGAACTCTACGGGAGTAGAAAGCCACATCTTTCTCCCACTGCGCAGCTGGGGGCTGCTCACGGAGAGGTTCACAGTACAAACCCACACAGCCACTCTGCGGGAAGAAAACCCAGCAGTCTGCTCCCGTAAGACACTGCCTCTTGGGACAGTTCCACTCAATGGGACACAGCCACAGCCATGCCCCCTAGCCACTGACAAAGAATTGTGCCTCCTGTGTGAAGTCCAGCTTGGCCGCGGAGACTGTACGTCTTTAAACCACATCATCTAAAATCAGCAGTTCTCCACCTTCCTAATGCCGTGACCCTTTCATACAGTTCCTCATGTGGTGGTGACCCCCAACCATAACATTATTTTTGTTGCTACTTCATAGCTGTCATTTTGTTACTGTTATAAATCAGGTGACCCCTGTGAAAGGGTGGTTTGACCCCAGAGGGGTCATGACCCACAGGTTGAGAAACACTGATCTAAATGAACCTTGCCACATCATTGATTATATGCGTAAATGGGCCAACAATGACCATTGGTTTCGCTGTGAATGAGGTTTCAGCTGACCACGTCATTCCCAGGAGCAAAGTGGAACCATCCTCACTTAAGACAGCAGCGTGAGCCTCCTTGGGGGCTGGCGGTCATGCCCCCAGGGCTTCAGCCTCAGTTGGACTTATCTCGCTGGCATGCCGCTGCATGTGGGGGGAGGGTGGAAAGACGTAGCTGCACAAATGCTTCTTGCATAAACGCGTAGTCTTCCATCACGAGGCTCAAACTCATGCGTGGCTGCTGTTGCCCCCAAAAGAGCTTCACTTCAATCTTAGCTTTTCCTTTATTGGATCCAGATGGAAATGACCATATTTTCACAAATAATAGCATGCCTATATAAACAAAGCATGTACACATAACAGCAGGCAAAAACAATGAAATTATGTTAAAAGGGTAGGTTCTGGCAGAGCCTGCCATACATACACAGAAGTGAATTTTGGCTTCGTTTGATAGTGCAGAGAGTTGACCTTTTCATCATATTTGTATTACTGAAGGTGTAAGCCATGGTCGAAAAAGTCTTGAACCAAGCTTGGCGGCGGAACACGACTAGGCAGAGACTGAAACATGGGAAAGGGTGCATTCACTCTGAGGCAGGTCTTGCCGACCCAGGAGACCTGGCGTTCTGTTGCCAATCTCCACCTGTCAAGCCGGAGCCAGGCAGAGGGCTGCCTGTGGGGCTGCCACCCTGGAGCACAGGCCGCCCCTGCATACACCCAGGTCTCCAGGTGCTGGCCCCATGCAAGGCCAGGCAGCAGGCTGCAGGATGGAGCGGGGGTAGGGTGGGCTGTACTGCCCTGGCCTTGCCACAGCCCCCTGTGGCCATCCACCGTCTCTTTGGCATGAGAGATACAGGAGCCCTCTGCACCCTTGGTGCTCACACCTGCCTTAAAGCCTCTGAGCAGCCAGGAGATCCAAACAGGGCTGAGCCTAGTACCCCGCCAGCCAGGTGCGGCAGCAGGTGCAAAGCTGTAAACTGTCCTTGGCCACCTGCATGGCCGCTCCAGCCCCGGGGTATGCAGACTCACACACCTCGTGGTCTGAAGGACGCCCCCAAAGCTGATTTCTTCCGACATAGCAGTGCGCGGAGCAGGAAAGGACGCCTGCTCAGAGAGGGCCTGCTTTAGAATCTCCAGGTGAGGCTGGCGAGGGCCCGCCCACTGGGAAGCAAACCTCTGAGCCTGTAACAAAGCACCCAGCTGAAAACTAAACGTTCATTCATTTCAAACCATTGAGTCCAGGCTGACTCATAGTCACCCCATAGGACAGGGTAGAACTGCCCCTATGGGTCTCCCAGACTGGAACTCTTTATAAGAACAGAAAGCCTCGTCTTTCTCCTGAAGAGCGGCTAGTGGTTTCGAACTGCTAATCTTGAGGTTAGCAGCCCAACGCGCAATCTACTGACCTCATAGATATGTAAAAATATTAGTTTAGTGCAATTATGAAGATAACATATGGGGGTGTGGTTCACCCCCAAACATTCAGCAGATGTTATCTGCCTGAAATTGTGGCATTTTCTGCAAAATCAGTTTCTCAATAGAAAAAAAAGGGGGCCTCCTCTCAGACTTCCGATAGACTCGGCTCTTCATGGGAGGAGCTCAGTTGCTACCTGATAGTGAGATCCCAGCTTCGGTAGGGTCCTTGCTGGAGAGGCTGAATATCACCCCTAACCCTACATGTGTTGTGGTAAAACTTTCCCCCTTGGGAGCTCTTCCTTTGTATAATTTCCCGGAAGAGGAATCGTGTTTTTCTGCTTTAGGAAAATAATGTGCTGCGGGCACAATGGTCCTCACCCATCCTTTCTGAGTGGGCCGGTCAGAGTGAAATTGCCTGGTAGCCAGAAGAGGTGAAGATGTTCTACTTTCCCGGGCAAGAGTTTCTTGAAATCACGTTTTGCTCATTCAAAATCCGTTGAAAGTCACAAACCCCGTGTCTGATTGGGCCGCCTAGTGTTTGGTTGTGCTGTGGGGCTAGTGCTGCTTCTCAGAACAGCAGTGTCAACTGATGACTCTTCTGGAGAAGTGAATCCTTTGTGAAGGGAAGGCCCATCGGCATGGCTCACCTATTGTGACTGGCTCCCCGCCCTTTGGAAGTGGCGATCCATTATTTTGGAAACGTGTTTGGTTTGGAAACATGTTCAGACATGCCCCTCCACAGGTCTGGTCTCCATCCACACACGTGCATCTTCCTCCCATAGACTCTTGAGGCCCCTTTTCCATGTTCAGAAGCTGGAGGGCCATTGACTAATAAACAACGTGAAGCTGTTCTTTCACTCTTACAACCCACATACCAAACATGTGTCAGGATGCATTTCTTTGGTATATATGTCCTAGTGGATACTTGGTGTAATTGCTGTCCAATTGGTAAATAAAAACTCTAGTCTGAATTGATCCTCAGGGGCCAAAATAGGAGACTTTTTCCCCCCACAAAGGATACTACAAATTGAAACCACTCTATTTTTGTTTATAGAGAAATGGAGTGGCTATGAAATAGAATTTGCTAAATGAGGCAGCCGCTGACACGCTGGCCAAAGGCCAGGGCAGTGTAGCCTGGAAACAACTGCTGGTGCCTCACAGTTACTTACAGAAAACAAGGGAGGTGCTTCCAACTGCATTTTCCATGTTGCTGAAAAAGCGAATGACTCCAGCACCCGGCTGCACCTCCGCACCATCATTTTTTTGAAATGACAATGGTAATTTTGAAGCAGTTTCCTTGCCTTCT